AATAAGTCATTGATTTTACAAAATTCAATCATTCTATCTCCAGGGAGGCAATGTAGGATGTTGTAAATTCTTGATATGTGACCCTTGTCTGGGTTTCCATTTCCAAGTGTTTGGTTTTTTTTTTGTTTGTTTTCCCAGTCAGTAGGTTTTCTTTCACTCTGTTGGAAAATGTTTTTGATACATCCAGGGACTTAATCTTTAGAAGGTTCTATTCATCAATGTTATCATCTCCACATTGAGCAATTCCAGCTGCATTTGGCAGTTGTCTCTTTGTATCATAGACTAGGCCATCTAAGCTTGAACATAGTCTGTCTCTGATGAACTTTATGGTTTTAGACTTTACATCCAGTCTCTGATTCACCTTGAGTCGTTTTTTGCATTTAGCATGAGATGTGGCAGCTTAACCATCTCTTTGCCAATCTGGATGCTTCGTATTTCCTTCTCTTGTCAAAATACCCAAGCAAACACACCCAGTACAATATTGAATAGAAGTGGTGACAGAAAGCATCTTTATCTCATTCCTATTAGCAAAGGAGATGCTTTTAGTCTTTCTCCATTAAGAATAATATTGGATTTTGATTTTGCATATATACTTTTTGCTATGTTAAGGAAATTCCTTTCTATTCCAATTTTGCTGATTCTCTTTATCAGGAAGTGGTGTTAGATTTTGTCCAATGCCTTTTCTGCATCAATTGCTAATATTCTATCATCCTTGTTATTTGCCTTCTTAATATGGTGAATTACATTGATGTTGATTTCCCTATTCTTCAAAAACCCTAGCAATTATCCATCTAGTACTTCTTCCACAACTTTCTCAGTGACTTTCCTGTTACTACCCTGTTCTGGAATTCTAATGATATGTATGTGGTTCCTTTTGATGTTGTCCCTCATGATTTTAATGTTTTCTTCATTTTCTTTAAGTCTCCTCTCTGATTTTTTCTTCTAGTATGTTTCTAGTGAGGCTCTTATCTTCCAATTCATTGAATCTTTCTTCTATTTCTTCAATTCTACTTGTTGCTCCTACCAGGTTGTTGGACACTTCTGCCATTTCAGTATTAATAGTCTGGATCTCATTTTCATGATTTTCTGTTATTTCCAGTATTGTGTTGGGTTTACCTTTATGCCTTGTGAGGATTTTTTTAAAGTTCTTGTACCTTTTTATCTATACAATTAATTGTTTCTACAATCTTTAGCATTTTCTTCCATAGCTGTTAAAGTTGCTCCTAATCAGTATATTTCATTTGGATTTTTCTCTCTAGGGTATTTGCTTTCTTAATGGTTTCCATTTTTCCTTCCAATATTTGTATCTTTTTCTGTAGCTGTTCAAATAACTCCACATCAACATATTTCTTCTAGTTCTCTCTACCTGGAATATATTTTGGGTCTACTTTTTTAGGAGAAAGGTCACTTTTCTTTTTCATGATTCAGGTTGCTGTTTTTTGAAGTTATACAAGTCATTTCTTAGTAGATGTGAGGTTATTGTAACTATATTATAACCCAGTGCATTTCAATGTTTTGTGAAGAGCCTATATATTTGTGCTCCCTTCTTCTGTTTCATCCAAAGTATCTGAATGAAAAAAGAGAAGCCTATTTCCTTCCAGAAATGGTGTCTCTGTCAGGCTCTATCTGAGATAAACTAGCTCTCACGTGGTGTATCTAGATAGCAGTGTTTCACACAAAGTATATATGATATCGTTGATCCTGGCGCTGAATAGCAGGAGCAGCCACTTGGCAGTCTGCAGGTAGAAGTTGTTGTGCTCTGGGTAGGATTGCTCTGCAAAACTGCAGCTCATCAATCTGACAGGCCATGGCTCTGTTGTTGGCCATTGTGTGAGTGTGCCTGAGGTGGGCCACACCATTTAGCAGACACAGGGAAAGTGGTGTCTGGAAGATGCTCCTGTGCCAGCTATGACACACAAGCATTGACATCTTTCAGCAGAGCAAAGGTAAGTTTTCCCAATGAGCTGGTCTCACAAGAGGCTTTAAACCTGTTCTAAAGATGACCGTGAAATTCATCTGGGATAAATTCAAGATCATATCTTCGTTCTTGTGTGCTAATTTTAATTTTCTTAAGCATGCATTGGAACTTGTACATGGTCTGACCCACAGTCCATCCCTAGTCTAGTTTTGGTTGCAGATATCTTCTTCCAATTATTTCTCCCATAAATGTAGTCAATCTTAGTCCTACACATATCATCAAGTGAGATTCATTAGTAAAGCCATCATTTGTGTTTTTTTTTTTAAAAGGTGTTCGCAGTGAATACATTCTAATCTTCTATTTCCAGTCTAATTTCTATCACCAAGCCCATATTTTCCAACTACCATTCCTTCTTCACTGTTTCCAACTTTTGCATACCAGTAACCAGTTATCATTAACACATCTTAATTGTACGTTTGTTCAATTTTGGACTGTAAGAAATTCTAGATTTCTTCCTTTTGGCTTTAGATGTTGGGGTGCATATTTGAATAATATTCATGCTAACGTGTCTTCCTTTATGTATGCAGATAATATTCTATCACTCACCACACTGAATAGCAGAATATAACTTGAAATTTACTTTTTTAACTATGAATGTAACACCATTCTTATGTTTTAATTCCCAGCATAGAGTAACATATGATTATCTGATTCAAAGTATTCAAAGCTAGTCTCCTCCATTTCATTTCACTGATGCTAGTATGTTGAAGTTCATGTGTTCCATTTCATATTTCACAGTTTCTAATTTTATAGAGTTCAAGCTACATATATTCCCTGTTCCAATTATTAAATGATGTTTGTCATCATTTTTTCCCATTAAATTAACTTCCAATCTTGGCTGTTCCACTATACTACTGTAACTATCTGTTCTGTTCTATTGTACTAGCAGTCAGGAAACCAAGAGATACATTGCACTAAGAAGGCTTTCAGTTAGGTACCTCTCCAAATTACTGAGAAGTAATGATGTCAGTTTGAAGTCCAAGTTCATCTGATTCGGGCTATGGTCTTTCCAATCACTTGTTATGCATCTGAGAGCTGGACAATGTATAAGGGTGACAGAAGAAGAATTGATTCCTTTGAGTTGTGGTGTTGGAGAAGAGTGTTGAACATCTCATGGATTACCAAAAGAACAAACCAGTATGTCTTGTAGAGGGTGCAGCCACAGTGCTATTTGGAGGCAAAGGTGATGAGTTTTCAACTCAAATACTTCAGGCGTGTTGCTAGGAGGAACTATTCTTTGGAGAGCGAGATGATGCTTGGAAGAGTGGAGGGTTAGTGAAAGAGAGGATAACCCTCAATTAGGTAGGTTGACATGGTAGCTGCTATAATGGCTCTAACAAGTCAGGAAGTGCAAAAATGGTGCAGGATAGACTAAGATTCAAATTTGTTTTTCACAGGGTTGCTATGGATCATACAAGGCACGATAGCACCAGACAACAACAACACTACCTAACAACAATAACAAAGTGGAGATGTCGAGCAAATATTTGATTTACAATTGTGCAGCCTATATATAGCAGCACACACACTTTACTGAGTAGTGCCTCATATGAAGTGCATTCTGTAAAAAATCTCACAAATTGAAAGCATGCTGGCTATAAACAACCACTGGATCCATTTATATTTTCCTTACATATGCACCAATGCTCAAAATAAGTTTGATATTAATTGTAAAGGAACAAAATTTGGAGGTGATATCTTAAGAAATTGAAAAAAGTATAATATTTGATATCTTATGCCATTTGGTTGGGTATTTAAAAATATGTATAAAATTAGGAGGATGAAAATTCGTAGTGTGAGAGCAGTATCTCATACAGATATTTGTAAAGGTCATTTATTCAACTTAGGTAATTTAAAATTTTAACAAAATAAAATGATCATTTGTTTTGTCCCATATTAATGCTATAAAAATCATATAAACACTAACAAGTAGTGTAATTAAAAGGTCATATGTTTATTGGCCTAGTAGTGTAGGGTAGGCAATGGAATTAAAATATTTTTACTATAAATAATTATTTAGATAATGTCTTAACTAATCAAATGGTTTGTAACCTTTTGCAGAACAATAAATAACTAAAGAATGTTAAATATCCTCAATATTCTAGGTCTCTTTTCTTAGATAATGAGTTTCTTGGTATTAAAACAGATCTGTTTGTTCTTTTGACTGTGTATGGTACAATCAACAGTCTCTACCAAAATGACAATTCCATACCTTACTTTAGTGCTTTTGTTATCACTTTTTTGCAGTTGATGAAATGCATCTCATTGAGATCCTATATGACAAAGAGGACATGTTTACTAGAGTTTTCAAGGTTATAATCTCTAGAAAGAATATCACTAGGTATTTATCTCTGCAGAATGACTGAAATGGTGAGTTTGAATTACGAACATTTTGGGTAACTCCCAAGTGCTTATTAAATGTGCCATCAAACATCTACAATATTATTTTAATGAATAAAAGTAAAGATTCCAATTTTTAACTGGGAAAACCATATTATAATCTAATGTTAGAGAACTAGAATGCTGAACATGAACTTTCTTTAATTATTTTAATTTTTCATTAAAAAAAAAGAGTCTTAAAGGAAGTGCAAACAGAGTGCTCCTTAGAAGAAAACATAGTAAAAAATCATTTCACTGATTTGGAATGTGTTTTTAAGGTGATCCAGTCCTTAGAGAGAAACATCATACTGGGGAAGGTAGAAAGTTGCCAAAAGAGACAAAAACTCTTAATGAGGTGCATTGACAAAAACTCTTATTGAGGTGCATTGATTCAGTGAGTACTACTATAGGCTTGAGTGTGACAGATGGTGAGATTGGTTCAAGATAAGGCAAGATCCAGATCTGTTGTTCATAGGGTCACTATAATAAGACTTGACAACACCTAACAACAATAACTGAAAAGTAAGGAACAGCCCTAGATTCAGCTCCTAATTAAAAAATGAACAATTTGAACACATCAGGACTTCCTTGAAATGAAATGCCTAATGGTCTGCTCTCACAAAGAGTATTCTCTAGAAAAACCTATGGATAATTCTAGTTATGCAAAGTCTCAAGGAGTTGAAATAGACTTCATAGTACACAGCAAAAGTACTAAAATTATGTATAGTTTTAGGATAAAACAAAAAACTATTTCACCTCAGTTCTTTTAGAGGCAGGTAACTTGAATGAAGTTAGAGTCACTTTCTTTGCCTTTTATCTGTTGTGTGGAGCTCTGATGGTAAAATCCACAAGAAATTGTACTGAAAACCCAACAGGCCAGTCTTTAACTCCATTTATTTGAATCCACCAGAGGTTCCATAGGAGAAAGATAACAAGTTTCCTCACATTTTGATTTGGTGGTGGTGGGTAGGTGCAGTTGAATCAACTAAGAGTCATAATAATGCTATGAGCAAGAGACCTAAATCTTGCTCTAGTCTATTCAATCATCATGATCTCTGTTATGCTCAGGTCCATTATGATGCTCACTGTGTCAATAAGTCTATTGATTTTCCTCTGTTTTTTTGACCCTGTAACTAACTCAACTCTTGCTTAGCTTGCCATCTTGCTGATATCAGATGGATCCTGGCTGAAAGAAATACCAGAGGAATGTTTATTTGTACTTTGTTGATTATGCAAAGGCATTTGACTGTTTAGATCATAACAAGTTGTGGCTGACATAGAGAAGAATGGGAATCCCAGAGCACTTGATTGGGCTCATGCTTAAGCTACAACTGGACTAGGAGGCTGTTGTGTATATGGAGCAAGGGAGCATTGTCTGATTTGGAATTGGGAGAGGAGTGCACCAGTGTTGGATTTTCCCTCCATATCTATTCAATCTGTATGCTGCGAAAATTATCTGAGAAGCTCAAATCTATGAGGAAGAGTATGGCATGAGGTTTGGAGAAAGATTTGTCAATAACCTACATTATGCAGATTACATAACCTTCTTTGCTTAAAGTAAAGAGGACTTGAAGTACTTGTTGCAGAAAATCAAAGAATGCAGCCTTCAATAAGGATTGCAACTCAGTGTCAGGAGAAGAGTTTTACCACTGAACCGATAGGCACCCTCATGATGGATGAAGAAGAGATTGAAATTGTCAACAGCTTCACCTTGCTTTATCTTTCTTGGATCCTCGATTGATACCAGAATTCAGGAAATAAGGAGACACACTGTACTGGGAAAATCTGCAGCCAGAGACAATTATAAATTATTGAGGAGTACTGATGTCAGTTTGAAGACTAACGTGCTTCTGGTTCAGGATCTAGTCTTTCCAATTATTGCTATGCATCTGAAATCTGGACAAAACAATTAAAGATGACAGGAAAAGAATTGCTGTCTCTCTCCTGTGGTGTTGGAGAAGAGTACTGAACTTGGATGGACAAGAGAATAAACAGATGTTTCTTGGAAACGGTCCAGCAAGAGTACTCTTTGGAGGCAAGAGTGATGAGGCTTTGCCTCACATACTTAGGACATGTTTCTAGGAGATGCTATTCCTTGGAGAAGGACATGATGCTGGGAAGGATGGAGGGTCAGTGAAGGAGAGGAAGACTCTCAACCAGGTGGATTGATACAGTGAATGTTGCAAGGGGCTCTTGTGTGTCAGAAGGTTTGAGGATGGCACAGGATAGAACAGATTTTTTGTTCATAGGGTATCTATAAGTTGTACTCAACTTGGCATCACATAACTATAACAACAACAACAACTACTATCTCAGCATGATTTCTCTCTCCAAGAACTGGTTCCTGAAGTAGGGGAAGGCTAAGTTTCACTGTTCTTGCCTAAGAAACACTCTGGTTGCACTTCCTTCAAGATACATTTCTTTGTTTTATCATAGTTTATCTGTGTTTCATTAAATATGGAAAGGTATTTGACTATGTGGATTACAAGAAATTGTGGCTAACCATGAGAAGAATGGGGAACCCAGAACACTTGATTGTGCTCATGTGAAATCTATACTTGGACTAGGAAGAAGTCATCAGAACAGAGCAAGGAAACAATGCCTGGTTCAAAAACAGAAAAAAAATGTGTCAGGGATGCAACCTGTCTCCCTAGCTTTTCAATCAATATGTGAAACAGAGCATTCAGGAGACTGGGCTTTATGAGAAGGAATGTGTCATCAGGATTGGAGGAAGATTCATCAACTATCTATGTTCTACAGATGACCCAAGCTTGCTTGCTGAAACTGAGAAGAACTTGAAGTGTTTGCTGCAAAGATCGAGGATTATAGTCTTCAATAAGGATTGATACTCAACCTCAGGAAGACAAAGATTCTCACCACTGGGCCAATTAGTAGCACCATAATAGGCAGAGAAAAAAATGAGTTTGTTAACAGTTTTAGTTTGTTCTGCTCCACAATCAACACTTTTGATAATAGCAGGCAAGAAATGTCTTTCTCTGGGGAAAGATCTATTTCTCTTGGGAAAACAGCTGTCAAGATCTCTCCAAAGTTCTAAAGAGAAACTATTTCAGACTGGAGACTAAGAGTTGCCTGATTTAGGCCATGGTCTCCAAAATTACTTGCTATGCATCAGAGTTGGAAAATGACTATAATTGATACTAGAAGAATTGATTCATTTGAGTTGTGCTGGAGAAGAGTATTGAATATATCATGAACTGTCAAGAGAACAAACTGTTTTATTAGACAGTGAAATGAGGGCAAGGGTTTTTAAATTCTGTCTCACATATGTTGGGTATGTGGCCAGGAAGGGCTAGTCCTTCAAGAAAGATACCGTGCTTAAAGGGTAGAGGGAGAACACAGGAGAGAAAGACCCCAGATGAGACTGATTAACACACTAACTCAGGTAATGGGGGTAGGTGTGTCAGAGACAGTGAGACTGGCTCAGGACAGAGCAAGATTCATAGCTATTTACGTAGATAGTTGGCTATTGTACCAATATCATGTTGTTTTATTACAACAACTGTGTTAATATTAGAGATCAAGAAGTGAGATGACCCCTACTTAATTTTTGTTTTTCAGAGAAGTTTTGTTTATTCTGGGAATTCTTTCTTTTTAAATAAAACTGAAAATTATCCTTTCTTCTCCTTGGAGAATGAGATTGGTGTCTGTTTGGGATTACCTTACACCTGTAAAATGCTTTTGGTGATACTACTATTTTCAAAATATTCAGTTTTCTTAGGCATGAATACAGAATATTTTTACATTTAGTTAGATCTCTTAATAATTCTTGTACCAAGATGGTTGTCAGATGAGACTCTAAGTGTTGCATTAGAGAGCGAGAAGCCAAAGCTAAAGGAAGAAATCAAAGAGCTGAACAGAAAATTTCAAAAGGCAGCTCAAGATGAAAAAGCAAGAAGCTATAATGAAATGTGCAGAGAGCTGGAGCCAGAAAATCAAAAGAGGCGAACTCTCTCAGCATTTCTTAAGCTGAAGGAGCTGAAAAACAAATTTAAGCCACGTGTGTCAATAGTTAAGGATACTTTGGGTAGAATGTTAAATGATCCAGGAAGTCTCAAAAGAAGATGGAAGGAGTACACAGAGTCACTGTATCAGAAAGAATTGGCTGACACAGAAGAATTTCATGAAATGACAAATGAGTAAGAGCCTATGGTGATGAAGGGGGAATTTCAACTTTCTCTGAAGGATCTGGCAAAAAATCCCCAAGGCTCCAGGAGTTGAATGCATACCAATTGACATATTTCAACAAATAAAGACAGCCCTGGGTGTACCCACTAAATTGTGCTCAGAAACCTGGAAGACAGCCAGGTGGCAGACTGACTGGAAAAAAATCTATATTTGTTCCAATTCCAAAGTACGGTGACCCAACAGAGTGCAGAAATTTTCTAACAGTATCATTAATATCACATGTAAGCAAGATTCTGCTGAAAATTATCCAAAAACATTTAGAAGAGGTTATGGTACTAGGAATATTATAGCTATGTTAGATGGATCTTGGCTGAAAGCAGGGAATACCAGAGGACTATTTTTCCGTGCGTCATTGACTATGCAAAGGCTTTTGACTGTGTAGATCACAACAAGCTATGGCTGACTCTGAGAAGAATGGGAATCCCAGAATATTTGACTGAGCTAAAGCGAAACCTATACTTGGACCAAGAGGCAGTCATCAGAACAGAGCAAGAAGACACTACATGGTTCAAAATCAAGAAAGGGGTTTGTCAGGGATATGTTCTGTCTCCACACCTTTTCAATCTGTATTCAGTACAGCTCATCTGAGATGCTGGACTGTATGAGGAGGAATGTGGTATCAGGATTGGTGGTAGAGTCATCAATAACCTGCCTTATGCAGATGACACAACCCAGCTTGCTGAAACTGAGGACAGGAAGCGCTTGCTGAGGAAGGTCAAGGACTGCA